TGACTGACACAGAGTTATTTCCCAGAGAGGAAATTTTGATATGGAAAGCATCCCGAGTGCCTAGAGTAAGAATAAGGGCCCAGAAAGGAGAGGCTTAACAAGACTGTGTTGCCTGGGCATTTCCAGAACTTTTAGGCTTCAGACCTCGCTAAGCCTTTGTTAGAGTAACAGGGGACAAAGCCCTGGAGCAGGCAGCATGTGGAAGGGGATAGCTCTGGAGTCAGAATTTGGACCAAGCTTGTCCCTAGGCTCAAGTCTAGGATTAATCATGGGAAACCCAGAGAAGGTGACCTTCTCCATGTGTGCAGGAGTCCCTGGTCCCTGGCATGCAGGAGAAAACTGGCCTCCATAAACAGAGTCTGCAAACTCTGCAAAGCCACTCCCTTATTAAACCTCTCATATCTCTTTCTGGGAGAAAACAGGCTTTATTGTGGATGAAATAAAAATTTTAATACACTTGGGAGAAACCATGGAAGTGAAGTGTTTTCCATATACCTGGATCTAAATTGTTACAGGGAAATTTCATCGTAATAGGGCCCATGATCTCAGAAACCAGGTTTTTATCCGGAGGCTATTCTTCTTTTATAACCACATCAAATCGGTGGAACATATGAGCTGATGACAACTTTGTTTCTCAGATCTGTCGTGTTTGTGAAACCAATTTCTGCTCCTGACACAGGTTCAGCCATGAGGTTGTTGTATCTGGGAGGGAAGAGTGAGTTATCTCCTACCCTCCTTCCTTTCTGGGACTCTGTTCTCTCCTTTGCACCTAGGAGAGTGGGTACTGGGGATTCTGGTGTTGGAAACAGAGAGGAGAAAATTCCTGAACTCCCTTCTCCTCATCCATTCTCCCCCATGTTTTTATGGGGTGGTGGGGAAATTGCTCCCTTGGTCACAGCCCACATGTAAGCAGAAGAGGTGTCTGTGATGTTGTAATAACTCTGGTAGAGGAGACGGTTTAATTTTTTTTTTTCAACGTTTATTTATTTTTGGGACGGAGAGAGACAGAGCATGAACAGGCGAGGGGCAGAGAGAGAGGGAGACACAGAATCGGAAACAGGCTCCAGACTCCGAGCCATCAGCCCAGAGCCCGACGCGGGGCTCGAACTCACGGACCGTGAGATCGTGACCTGGCTGAAGTCGGACGCTTAACCGACTGCGCCACCCAGGCGCCCCTGAGACGGTTTGAACAGTAAAAGAAGCCGTAAGCATCTTTTCTATTTTCTCCTGGGGCTCTTCCCTTATTGAATACATGGAAAATTTCCTTGCCTTAGCACTGGCCATCGTCAAGTCAGTGGTATAGTTACTACATTCTTCCAAGATGTGACTTTCTCCATCAATTACCGTGCTAATCTCTAACCTAAAAGTTTAAAATATTACCTTTGGACACCTGTAGGCACGTGGCATTCAACTGAACGTGGCAATTATTTCTGGTCTTAAAATCGACCGAATCTGAGCACGTATTTGAATTCTATAATGGCAACACTTACAATAGATGAGGCACGTTTCTTAGAGTTAGTGGGAAGAAATAAAATTCTATATGTAGAAAGTTGGATGGCTAGGTGGAGAAATAACTATATTTTTCTTTGTAAAAATGTATTATAGTGTAGTTCGCTGTATGTTCTGGAAAAAGGAACTGTAGTTTCTCTAAAAGTAAGTAATTGCCGTGAGAGGTTGAGGTGGGGGAAAATGCCACCTCCCAGAACTAACCACTGTTAATATTCTCCCAGACTTTTTTTTTTCCTGTGTAAGTATCTTTATATTTTTCAAAAGTCATCTCCTATTATGCATACTATTATTAGCTGCTTTTTCCACTTAATGATATTCTGCAGCTATGTTTCCATAACAATTACCCTCTATTTTTTTAAACGGCCACCCAGAACCTAGTTGTATGGGTGCACATTAATTTACTTAGCCAGCCCTCTGTGGAAGCACTTTCAGGTTGTTTCCTATTTTTCACTGTTATAAATAACTTGGAGATAAATATCATTTTTACATCTTTTTAAAATGTGGCCAATTATTTTCATAGAATGAATCTTAGTACCCCTGCACCGGAGACATCCGCTTAGAAACAAGAATACGTCTGCTATAAAAATGCAAAGAAAATCCTTCTGTGACCCCAGTCCCTCCTCCTCATAGTTAGTGTGGCATATTTGCATGCTGTTTTGTTAAGTTGAGGTTTCAGTAAGGGTTAGTGAGACACAGGAAGGATAACTTCATATTAAAACAACAACAACAACAACAACAACAATAGCAAACAACTCCTACTTGGCATTTTCCTTCGAATTCCACTTGTGTTTCTCCACTCTTTCCCTCTGTTATCACTGGATACTCCCTTTACCTCCTTTATCTTGTCCAGAATGTTTCCTTTTTGGAACTTGGGTGGCAAGCTGTCCTTCAATTCTGTTCTGAGCTTTAGGTATTCAGAAGGAACGAGAGAGACTTCATACTCCTTCAGATCCATTGAGAGAGAGAGAGAGAGAGAGAGAGAGAGAGAGAAGAGGTGGGGAGGGAGAGGGTAGAGAGAGAGGAGAGGAGGCAGAAGGGAAGGGAGGGAGAGAGAAACAATTTCACTAACAAAGAAACAAAGTGGACATTGAGATCTATTTGTTTACTCCTGAACCTCTGCTATATTGTTTTACACGCTGTAGCTTTTCAATACATTTTAATACTGGGCAAGGCAAGACTTTTAGAACTCTTTTTAAGAGGATCAAGTTAAACAGAGATGCAGGGCAAAGATCAGGAGAAGGAGGAAACAGAGGGATTTATTGCGGTGGGGGAGTGGATAGGAAACTCCCATCTAATTGGTAAAGATTTTGATGCCCAGGGAACTCTCCCAGCTCTTCAGGAGGAAGCTTTGCTGGGGTATCCTCAAGTTCAGTCAAAGTAATCTGTTCTTCTCTTACTCATGTCTGGGTGACAAGAGCAACATCCCTGTGACTGAAATAAGACCAGGGACAGAGCCATGACTTTAGCCAGAGTAATAATCAATTATATTGCAACATCCTCAGTGTAGTCCACAGGTACAAAGTGGATCATGGTGCGAAGGAAAATCATCAGATTACTCAGGCCATGGCTAACCTGGTTCCCTTGAATGTAATCTGAGGATGAATACTCACATTTCTGAAGTAGCTTTTCCTTTTATTTTGATTGCTAACAAGTTCTATTTCCTCTTAAAATTGAAATAAACATTGATTTTTTTATTGTTGCTGTTGATGAACAATTTCTGATGTAGAGTCTTCCCATTTTTGAGTTTTAACCTACTACTGTACTTCCTAGCCTAAGTAGAAATTGATTTCGGGAAGTCAAAAGATACAATTCTGTTGAACGGTTTTCATTTTACAATGATAGCTTAGTAGTAAATGAGGACATTAGAATAAACATCATGAGGTCCTGGCTGTGAGCATCAATAGTGTTTTTTTTAATAGCTATTAGAGTTATCGAGTTTTCCATTTTATAATACCATTTGTGATTGTGCTGGAGTGAGCAGAAAAGAGAAGGCTATGGTACTATGGATTTTTTTTTTTTTTTGATGCATTAAGGAGGCATATTGGAATCAGAATCCCAAGATTTTGGTTTCAGACCAAGCCCTACCACCTCTGTACTCAGTGTGCCACTTTTCTGTGTATCTCAGTCATATTGTCTGTGAAATAGGGAAAATAAGACCGGCTCTACCCATATTTTGGGTTGTTGAATGGACTGAAAGAGATAGTGCACGGAAAGCCACTTTGTAAAAGGTGAAGCATGATCCATCTTAAGATACGACTGTTCAGAGATTATTCCTATAAACTGCTGTCCAATTACCTAGGAAGACAAAACATTGGTCAAATTCCTTCTGAATGCTACTCTGTAAACAACCCCTGTAACCCACTAATTGATTTTAGGACCTGGTTACAGCAGTCCCAATTCACTCTACTTTAACATTGTTGGTGATGGTCACATCATGGGCAAATCTAGGCTCTTCTGTGGCCTGGTTTGCTTTTCCTAAGAAGAATCAGGGGCACCTGGGTGGTGCAGTTGGTTAAATGTCCAACTCTTGATTTCGGCTCAGGTCACGATCTCATGGTTCATGAGTTCAAGCCCTGCATCAGACTCTGCAAGTGTGGGGGCTTCTTGGGATTCCACACCCCCCCCCCCAAATAAATAAATAAACTTAAAAAAGAAAAGAAAAGAAAAGAATCAATTGCCCTTTGGTACCTGGGCATGGAGGACTGGATACTACAGATCTGTGGTTCTTAAACCTGGATTTCCATCAGACTCACAGGGAATTTTTAGAAGGTGCTTCTTCAAAATTCTCACTCCAGACCTAGTTCATAAGAATCCTCAGCAGCTGCGGCTCCCAAATCTATGTTCGTAACCAGCTCCCTAGTGCTTCAGATGCACAGCTGGATTTATAGCTACACTTGGTATAGGAACCAGAAGGTGAGGGTTCTGTTTTTTGCTCTGTCAGGTACTAGTTGATTCTCTCTTGGCCTTACTTTTGACCTTAGTAAAATGTCTGTGAGTTTATTTTTTTTTTATAAAAATTTTTTTTAAACGTTTGAAAGCGCGTGCGCGCGCGCGAGAGAGAACACGAGCACAAGCGGGGGAGGGGCAGAGAGAGAGGGAGACACAGAATCGGAAGCAGCTCGGAATCTGATGTGGAGCTTGAACCCACAAGCCTTGAGATCATTACCCGAGCCACCCAGGTTCCCTAAAATGTCTGTGTTTTTAAGTTGTGATCAAAATCCAGGAGAAGAGGATTCTTCAGATACTTCAGATACTTCAATGAAGCATTTGAAGCCAATCGGAAGATCTAAACTCTCCTGAGAACCTCTCGTTGCTTTTGTTTAATAGTTGGGATCCTGGAAGCTTCTTTCCCTGAAGCGAGTCCCACAGCTAAAGAAGTTTGGGACCCGCTAAGAATCTACGACCCCTACATTACCTTCCAGCTCTGACAATCTGTGGTTACATAGCTACAGTTCAAATGCTCTCAGAGAAGGTGCTATAAAACTTTCTTTTGTCTCATGTTCTGGTTATTCAAAGTCAGCACAAATCTTCACAGCATTGAGAGACCAGCTTTGAGGCTAATTTGGGTCTTCAAAGAACACTCCTCTGCCTCCTTGAAAAAGTTGTGTTAAAGCAATTAAATGTTATTTGAAGGAAAGAAAAGGCACAAGCTGACTACTGAATAACAGGACTAGTGTTAACAAAACAATCCTTACCCTGGGATCAAAGCCAGAGAGAGGCAGACAGATAGTGTGCAGGGGATAAGGGGAGAGAGGAAGAACGGGAGGTGTTAGAATGGCTTTGGTTCAATTAGGGATGCGAATGCGCAATCTGGGGATGGTCTTCTGAATTCAGAACAATAGCTGGCGACGGAAACGCGAATGGCCCCAGGAGAACTCACAATGCAAGAAACGCTGGATTCGGCATCTCTGTTCAGACAAGGGGCCAAATAAAGGAACAAAACAAACAAGCGGACATAATTGTTTGCCATTCAAGGGAGCCACAGACCGCTCGGCATATGGTGTGTGGAGATTCCGGAATGCACAGGCGATCTCATTTGGAATGACTATTCTTGTTCCAGAAGCCTGGGAGCCAGATGAGCAGGAGGCTGACTGAAAGATGAGGTGGACTGCACCCTCCATTTCTGATGCCGAAACAGTCTTTCTCAGCTTCAGCGCCCAAGGGATTCACCAGGCTTGGCTCCAGTAGACATTCATTGTCTCCCAAACTCAAATCTCTCCCGCGAAGGACAAAGAGGTGCCACGACTGAAGAGATTTTGGAAATACGCGGTAGACTGAAGAGTATCTCCAAAAGGGAGAGGCAAAAAGTCCTTTGAGTAACACTGGGAATAAGGGCCCCGAGTCCCCATATACCAATGGACGCGTGGGACGTCTGGTGCTTTTGTTGCTCTGTTTGTGGAGCGTTTAGACAATGGGGAAGACTGAGCTGTGGCCTGAAAAGGCCTGTGAGAGGTAACTACCTCTTAGTCTGGGGGCTTCCTGGCTTAGAAGCAAAAATTCACGGAGCATCATGCTCCCTGGGGGCAGGGAGGGGAAGGTGGACATGGCTGTTAACAAATCTAACTCTCCCAAGCCTGAGTGTACTTAGGGAGTTAGTTCATTGCTTCTGAGCCATGTTACAAGGGGCAGAAGGAGAAATTCTTAGGCCAAATACATCTGGGAAACAGTTGAGGTAAAACAGGATTTTTTTTTTTTTTTATTGCAGGACTTTTCATAACCTTTGGTATTCTAGGAAAGGGATATTGTATGCAGCTTTTTCCAAGTGATTTGCTCATGGAAACATTTATTTGCATGGCATCTCTTGGGACTAATGTTCAACAGAACACACGTTGCAAAGGAAAGAAACTGGGTCAAGGAATCTTAGGGACCCTAGTGTCTGTTTCCTCATCTCAGAAATCAGGGTATAGATCCGCAGAGACAAAATGATTTCGTCAGGATCACACAGATGGTTTTTGGCTCACACTGGAAGAGAAACTAGGGTACCATGTAGAAAGTAACAGGTCTTAGGAATCTGGGTATACTCTTTCTACTACGTCACATTGTACTTGTCACTGCCCCTTTGTACAGGGGTTTGATGCTATTCAATAGTAAACCTGAGATCAGGAAGGACGGATAATCAGGGGTCAGATTTTGGAGCGGTTTGAATGCCAGATATTTTTGAATTTTATCCAGGTGTGTTATCCTTCATCTTGGCACTTCTTACACTGTATCATCATTGGTGCCACTGGCAGATTATATTATTTTGCTCACATCTTGTTTCTTTCCCCATCTCTGCTACAGTGGGTGGAGTCTACTTCCTTGTCTCATTGATGTTGGGCTTGGACATGTGTTATGGGCTGAATTGTGTCCCCCACCCCCACCCCAAATTCATATATTGAAGCCCTGACCCCCAGTACTTTAGAATGTGACTGTATTTGGAGATAAGCTCTTTAAAGATGTGATTAAGTTAAAATGACGTTAGTACGATGGGCACTAATCCAGTATGGCGGGTGTTCCTATGAGAGAAGGAGATTAAGGCCCAGACAGGCACAGAAGGAAGACCGAGTGAAGACACAGGGAGAAGTGACCATCTACAAGCCAAGGAGGGAAGCCACAGAAGAAACCAACTCTGCCACACCTTGATCTTGGACCTCCAGCCTCTAGAATCATGAGACAGTAGATTTCTGTTGTTTAAGCCACCCAGTTGGAGGGACTGTGTCACAGCAGCCGTGGTAAACTAAGAGAATGTCTGAGAGAGTGTTCATGATGGGTAGGTGGCTATCATCCAAGGAATATCAGGAACCCAGGCCTTTCCCATCTTGTGGCTCAGCCATCTTCAACACATGGCTTCCAGAGTCAGTGTGCTTGTCTATAAGAAGATGGCAGTGGGAGAACTGTCTTATGGGCGATTTCTGGAAGTGGTGGTATATACCGCTTCCACTCACATTCCACGGTCAGAACTCCATTCATGGGCACACCTGCTGTGAAGGATGCTGGGAACTGTAGTCTGGCTGTGCACCAGGAAGAAGAGGAAGTGGATCTGGGGATTAGCCAGCCAGTCCTGGCCATATCTCTTAACTACCCTGTGGAATAGGTTGTGTGAGAAAATGGCAGTAACTTCTCTTAGATCATAGGGCTGGCTAGAAAAGGGCATATACTTTATAAAAGAAACGTGTGCTCATTAAAAAAAACTGTGTAGAAGTGTGAATATAAAAAGTAACAGGCCCGTTTGTTCTTCCCCTCCCAAAGCCAGGTCCTGGAGGAGACCAGAGGCAGCCCCATGGCCTCGTGGGCAGGAATATCCCATCTGCTAAGGTGGCTTGTGGGAGGCGGGGCTTCCCACCCGTGCTCCGATAAACGATTGCCCAGGGAGTGTGTTCCTCCCCTAACACAAAAGTCACTTTCCTGGCCCTGGCGGTGCCCTGATTGGGAAATCACCCTGATTTCTACACGCAGAGAAACGAATAATGCTTTTCTTTCTGACTGGCGTTTATTTGGTGGCAACTGACCGAGATTCAGACGAGGTCAGGAAGTCAGAAAAGTATCAGATCATTTTGGCTGAAATGAGTTGAACATCAGCTGGCGGGACAACCCAGACACACACTCAGCGATCATTACCAATTTTTTAAAAGCTTATTTATTTATTTTGGGAGTGGGGGGAGGGGCAGAGAGAGAGGGAGAGAGAGAATCCCAAGCCCTGACACAGGGCTCGAACTCACGAGCCACGAGATCATGACCTGCGGCGAAACCAAGAGTCGGACGCTCAACCGTTTGAGCCACCAGGAGCCCCAATTATTATGATTTCTAATGTTGGTGGTCTTGGCACAATAAAACACAACCGTGAACGTAGCTCCAACTTTGATAGAACAGAGTTGTTGGGACTCCCTTGCTTTTCTCTTTCTACTAGAACATGTTGACTCTAACTAAACCTTGTTTAAGCTTGGGGCAATTTAAGACAAATTTTCTCATTTTAGACAAAGAGGTGGGTTGAGATGGATTACCGTCAAGTCATTTCTTCCAGGAGCATTTGTTCTAAGCACAGGAATAGCCCTCCGGTTTTGCCCTCCCCGACATTTGCAACACTCACCTTTGTTTCTTGCTGTTTGATTCTCTTGGGTGTCTCTTCTCTCCCAGGAACCCTTGCCTCACTCAGGTGCTGTTGCGTTGTTAGAAAATAGGTTTTAATTCTCTTAAGGTGAAACGTTTCCCTCATTCACGTTTCATTCAACAAACATTTATCAAATGCCTTGTGATACCAGGTCCCCAGAGTACCCTGCCCTCCAAAACCTGTTGTCTACGGGGGTTGGCCCCATTGTTGCAGAAAAGTGTATGGTGTCTTGTGGGAAGCTGGGTTATCTTATTCTGTGTTCCAGGAGCAGTTTAATGCATTGAATGAAAAGACTGAACATAATCTTGATATTCTTAAAACATTAAAAGGTGTCGTTCTGGGCATACACACAAATGTAAATAATTTCCCTTATTATTGAAAAAGGTAGTTGAACGGGAAGTAAGGACAGTATTGCTGGAAAATAGTACCTTACTCAAAAATGATGTGGAATGAATCACTGGCTTTATTAGAAAGTAGTTCTCTATTAAATAAATTATTGAACCCATTTGGGAGGGGCCTAATAAGAAATAGTCTATATTCTGTCTTTTCCTTCTGTCTGTCCTTCCTTTCCTCCTTCCTTCCTTCCCTCCCTCTGCTATCCCTCTCTCTCCCTCCCTTGATCTTTTTTTCATTTTTAACATTTATTGAAAACCTGCCACATTCATAGTGTTCTATAGCTAAGATTTTCCAGTATAGGCCATATTTTAATAATTTTATTCTTTTCCAATAAGATGTTTTATTAAATATTTAACTAACTGTGATTTTGTTTCAATATCCTTGTTAAACTTTTCACATGACAGAACTCACAAAATGGAAAAAAATCGTTGCTAGGCCTTGGGCTTTTCTATCTGGCTTGGGAAGTATGCCCCTGGGTATGGTTAAGGTTCTGGAATAAGCTGGAATGGGACAGTGTGGGGACACACAGGTGAATAAGGCTCAGCCCCTGTTATGATCTAACAGGAGAGATAAGGTGAAATCTGAGTCTCTGTCACAAAGGCACAATTTACTGAGTGCACACCACATCCCTCATTGGCTTTCCCCAGCCAATCTTTTAGGAAGTGTGTAGAAAGTGAGAAATTACTTCCACTTGATTTTATCCCTATACATTTAGGTTTGAGACAACCCTTATAGACAATATGTTTCCTAAGAATTGGCTTTTTGTTGATTTGATAAAATCCAAGATACTGAACTCATTGGGAGAATTTGACTTCTCTGTTATAAGTTGTGGGGGCCAAGAAACTATGGCCATCTGTTTTTGTAAGGCCTGGGGCTAAGAATGGATTTTACATTTTTAAATGGTTGACAAAAAATCAAAAGAAGACTATTTCATGACATGAGAAAATGATATGAAATTCAAGTTTCCATGTCCATAAATAAAGTTTTATTGGAACACAGCCATGCTTATTAATTTACATATTGTCCATGGCTGCTTTTGCTACAATGGCAGAGTTGAGTATTCATGATGGAGGCCATATGGCCCAGATGTAAAGCTGGAAATATTTATTATCTGGTCCTTTAAGAAGGCTTGCTAACCCCCTGATATATTGTTTTATTTGCTAGTGGAGAAAAGTTAAAAAAGGCATTTAACACCTGGACCCAGAATCTCTTCTAGAGAAGGAATGGTCTTTGTTTAGAAAAACCCTCAGATGGACCATTTGGATGTGAAAGGCTGGGAGTAGCACCCAGCTGCTTTGTATAAAAATGGAGGACAGATGCCTCTGTCCCTAACCTTCCTCATCCAGTTTAGAAAGAAGGCTCTTACAGTAAAACGTACTCAGGTTTGAGTCCCACCTCTGTGTGTCTTCTGGACAGTCACTTAACCATTCTGAGCTTCAGGTTCTTTATTTGTAATATGAGAACAATAGTCAAATTTACCTCTCAGATTTGTCTGATGATAAAGTGAATTAATGTATATAAAGCACTTAACATAGGGCCTGGCACATAGTATTTTCTTAGCCTGTGCCTTGCCATTCTTGTTGTTCTTCTTCTCCTTTTCTTCTTCTTCTTCTTCTTCTTCTTCTTCTTCTTCTTCTTCTTCTTCTAGAGAGAGAGAGAGAGACAGAGAGAGACAGAGACAGAGAGAGAGAGAGACAGAAGGAGAGAGAAAATCTCAAGCAGGATCCATGCTTAGCATGGAGCCCAATGTGGGGCTTGATCCCACGAGCCTGGAATCATGGCCTGAGCTGAAATCAAGAGTTGAACCTACTGAGCCACCTGGGTGCCCCGAGCCTGGCACATAATAAGCTTGCTATCTCTTCTAGCTATGATTTATGATTATCATGATTATATTTATAGGATACAGGAAAATTAAATGAAATAATATACACAAAGTGCCTAGAATACTGGCTAGCAAAATCCCTTTTACATTCCAATGGAAGGTACCCTGATGTTCAATCCTTCTTGGAGCCAGGTCTCTGATGCAGTCTGATCCTCAGATGTTTGGATGTGTATCTGAAGCCAGAGCTGGTATCAGGGACACCTGGAGGGTCTGGGTAGTGTGACCCTTGGATATGAAGGGTGGGTGTGATTAATAATGAGTTTTAGCATAAGCAGTGTCCTTGTATAGAGCTGACATTGTCTTCTCAGAGGTTGAACAGGAAGAAACTGGTTAGTGGTGCAATGGGAGGTACAGTATCCAGAAAGAATCTACAGATAGTGATGGCTGTTTGCTTGATTTTCCAAGAAAATAAGGAATGCCCAGGAAATAGGAATGTTTAACATCACGCAACAGAGGCCGGGGGACACTAAGGAGTGTTTTTTGATGATGATGAGTTGTTTAGACGTTGTATCCTCAGCAAAGGGTTTCCATCAACTATAAACAGAATAAATGCTGTCGGCTGGTCTAGAAGCTGCTTTTAAAACCTGTTAGATGAGCATACACCATTCTGTGTGTGAGTACTTGTTTAGAGCTTGGATTCTAGAGGCAGAAAGATGAGCCAAATTCAGATCTTGCGTTGGCCATTCATTAACAGTGACCTCGCACAAGTGACTTCACTCATCTGTGCCTCATTGGCTCACCTGTAAATCAGAAATAATAATAACACCTACTTTTGGTAGCCAGCTGGCCCCCAGGGACCCCCACCTACTGGTATTCACTCCCTTAGTATCTCCTCCTACATCGAACCAAGGTTGTCCACGTGACCCAGAGAACACACTAGAAGTGACATGTATCACTTTGATTCTCAGATTACTTGATCCAGGTGAAGCCAGATGCCGTGAAGTGAGGACACTCAGGCAGTCGGTAGAGAGGCCCACGTGGGTTGGAACTTAGTCCTGCCAGCAGCCACGTGAATGAACTTCGAAATGGGTCCTCTGCCCCCAGAAGATAGCACCTCTGGCCAAATTTTCATCCACGTGAGAGATCCTGAGCCGGAACCACCCAGCCAAGCTTCTCCCCCCAATCCTGACTCACAGAAAGGGAGATAATAAATGCTTGTTGTTTTAAGTTGCTGCATTTGGGGTACTTTGTTACATAACTGATACAGCACCTCATAGAGCTGTTAATATTTATAATGCTCTAGAACAGTACCTGCCACACAGTAATCAACATGTAAGTGCTTGTCAAACATATAAATTCACAGATAAATACATACCTAACTGAGGGATTAGGGTGAAGGAAGCGCCCTTTTGGTTGGTCAAGACTCGAATAGTCAAGTCTTGGCTGTTTCAAAATCAAAGCCTTCTGCTTTCTTCAGGGCAATCTTGCCTGTTTTCATAACAATCTGCGATAAGGAGGAGATCCTGATTTATATTTCCCACAGAAGAGAAGAGAGATTGAAATGGTAAGTGCCAAAGAAATTAAAAGTCATTTCGGTTTTTCAATTCATTACTTCTGGAAAAAAACTCAAGCCCAGCTTCATTACTAGTGCTCTGTTTTAGTGCTGATGATAATTGCAAAGGCAGTATTTTTAAATTAGAATGTATAAGACCACATGTAATTAACCTGTACAGAAGGGCTGAGACTTCATATTAGACTATTAAATCAATCCCAGCAGAATCACTAATGCTGAGCAATTGATTTGAAAATACTGTACGGGCAGAGTAAAGAAGCTGGATGCTAATTACCATCCACAAGAATTTAGCACACTCCTCGGATGTAGTTAGAGTGGCAGGCTTTTTCCTCTGGCCCTTAACCCACTCAAAGCTGAGAATGCAAATTAGTGCAGACTGAAGACTTAAAACAACCTGGAGTTTAAGGCAAGAGAGGGTTTTTCTGCTGCTCTTCGAGTGTGATGATCATAAGGGGACTCTCAACTGTTTGGATGCTGTGACTTGGAAGACTGAACTTGTGCGCTTGTTTTGGGATCCAGGTGAAAAGGAAGACTCTTATTATAGCATTTCTTTTTTTTATTAAAAAATTTTAAAAATGTTTATTTATTTTGAGACAGAGAGAGAACGAGCTTGTGCATGTGTGCAAGCAGGGAAGGGGTAGAAAGAGAGAATCCCAAGCAGGCTCTGAGAAGTTGGTGCAGAGCCTGACATGAGGCTCAACCCCAGGAACCGTGAGCTCATGCCCCGAGCTGAAATAAGGAGTTGGACACTGAACCCACTGAACCACTGTGGTGCCCCTGGTTGTAATATTTCTTGATGTGGTGGGCATGAGCTACTCCTTCTACTACTTGTATTTTGTGTACCACCCTCTTACCCATTCCTCTCTCCAGTCATCTCCATTTCTATTTCTTCTTGTAGGCTACCCTGTAACATCCATTGTCTTGCTTTATTCTTTGTCTTTTTCACTTGATGAATCATTCAAGCGACCTGCAAATACCTACTGGCTTACCCAACAAAAAGAGCAGTAACAACAGCAGCTTGCATTTATGGAGTGCTAGGGCACAGAATGCAAGTTGACTATCAGAATCCAGTCCTTGCTTCCCCTAAGGGATGTGGGTGAAGCCAGGCACAGGGTCAAATTACACTTCCCGGGTTCGCTTGTGTTGAGATGTGGCCAAGTCCCTCCATGGCGCTGTGAGGAGAAGTGATGTGCCGAGCCCTTTCAAAGAATGGGTGTATGTCCTCCTGACTCCATCTCTTTGCCGGCTGGATGCAGACGATGACATGTCCTTAGAGCCACAAGATGGAGTGAGTCTGGGTCGCTGAATCGCCATGCGGAGAAAGGCCAAGATGAACCAGGTTCACGTTCAGGGGTCTATCGTGTGACCAAGAAACACTTTGTGTTTGGCCGATTGTACATTTTAAGGTATATCTGTCGTATCCCTTTAGCTTGCCCCCTGCTAATGTTTGCATGCATTACCTCATTTAACCCCCTAGCAACCGTATTAAGGGCACCATTATTATTCTATGTTACAAAAGAAGAAACAAGATCTCAGGAGATTAAACAACTTGTCTGAGGACACCCAGATAGTAACCGACAGACCCGGCACCGAGGAAGTGCTAAAGAAGTTCAAAATGTAGTCTTTGGACTGTGGTAAGCTGCAAGTTACAGAGGCCCATCCTCTTTATGACTGAGAATAATTAGATAACCAACCAGTGCTGATGCTTTACAGCTGGCCATCCATTCTCACTGGTTGGTGCCTATGCCATGGTGCTATTAAATATTTTTTCTGCTTAAGGCAAAATATGGTGATGGATGCCTCTCTCCTGTGGCTGTGAGGTTCTGTGGGGCTCCAGAGTGAAGAGGTTGGTGACCGTTGAGAAGCCATTCTTCTTCCGGTGCACCATGATATGAATGCGGCCAACACTTCTTGGGCGTTCTTGTTGCAGTGCTGTAAATCTGAGTCTGGCTTCTAAAATAAAAAACAATAACAACACCAATTTTGGGTGGGGGTGGAGGTAGCAGGGAGAGTCAGGGGTCAGTCTTCTTTGGTTGGACGTTACTATTAGGCCTAATCAGGTTAAAATGAAACCCGGAATGATCACTGGCACTTCCTTCATGTCTCGGGTTGGGTTCCTTCATGTGTGTTCATGTGAAGTGGCCATTATGGATGTTCTCCCCGGGGGAGACAAGTAGGGGAGTGGGGACCGGGACGGGGGAAAGGAAGGTAAGCAGGGGTGAGGTTTCAGGTGATGTTCCAACTTGTTGAATGACCTGGTGTGGAAATCACCCGCAGAGGTTGTCCTGACCTTTCACTGGCAGGCTTTGGCTCCCGCGGTAACTCCCGGGTACTTCCGGGCCTCCGCATGGCTGTGGTTGTTCTAGGGAAGTCCTCTGCAGATGCAGCAAGCATGGGGGCTCAGGAGGGTCACAGGGAACCCGACAGGGACCTGGGCAGACACCGGCAGGAGCTGCTGTGCCTCAGGAGACGGCGCTTGTCCACAGACGCTGGTGGCTTCTCTCGCTTCTCTTTCTCGCCTAGTTTCCCCCTCTTCCCTTTGCTAACCTGGGCTCCAGCCAAAGACCCCCCTATTCCATTACTTGGTTACACCTTCCCTTTTATGCCTTTGCACTTTCATTCCTTTCGCTGGGAACGGCTCCTCCTCTCTCCTCTTCCCTAACTCAGATCACAGGCATCCCTGGTGCCCATCCAGAGGCTCTCCTTGTGTGGAGCCTTTCTTTACACCCTCAGCCTGAGGCATCTGTCCATCTGCCCTCTGCCAGCACTTTGTATATTCTATCGCTGGCTGTGGAGCAGGAGGTATATGTTCCCTACCCTTTCCTGTCACCCCACACACAGCAGTGAGTTTGACAGGAAAGTGAGGAATGAGAGAGTACATGGCAATGGGAGCTGGGAGCCTCTGAGGCAAGGATGAGCACCGGGGCTGCTAGACTATACAGTACCTTGGTAGGAATTAGGCAAAACAGCCTCCCTGGGTAGACAGAGGCTTGAGAAAGGTGCATGACTAGGTAAGGGTGCACGTTTCGGTTGGTTACTTTTGCACAGTGCACAGCCGGCACAACTCTACACTGGGGCCCTACTTTGCACACTCTTCTCTGAGCTGGGTTCAGGTAGGGGATTAGGGATATATGTGGTTGAATCATAGAGGAAAGGAACTGTTGTCTGGACTCCTACAACATAGTATGTGTGAGGAAGGATAGCATTGTCTGAGAGAGATGTGGCCTAGGCCAGCTTTGCCTTCAGCATTGGGGTAATCATTAAAAAAATTTTTTTAAATGTTTATTTATTTTTGAGAGAGAGACAGAGATAGAGACAGAACATGAGCGGGAGAGGGGCAGAGAGAGGGAGACACAGAATCCAAAGCAGGCTCCAGGCTCTGAGCTGTCAGCACAGAGCCCGACACGGGGCTCAAACTCATGAACCGTGAGATCATGACCTGAGCTTGGAGTTGGGTGCTTAACTGACTGAGCCACCCAGGCGCCCCTGGGGTAATCATTTCTGATGGTACTGTGACAGGTGTCAAAACTTGCCCCCAATTTTTTGATGCTCCTTCAATTGAGAGGTGGGACAAATTCCCCACAAATATTAGTGGCCTCAGTGACCCACTGGCAACCAACAGAATGGAATGGAAATGACACCGAGTGACTCCTGAGGTTGGGTAAGTAGAAGCTATGTAGTTTCTACTTTTGTTTCTTGGAACACTTACTCTTGGATGCTGTGTCTCAGAACCCAGCTGCCATGCCATGAGAAGTCCAAACCACATGGAGAGGTCATGTGGAGGTGCTTGCTTCAAGGAATGGCCCCAGCTGAGCTCCTGGCTGACAGCCATCTTGGACGTCCAGCCCATTGGGCTTTCAGATGACAGCAGGCACCCCCCCCCCCCCCCCCCCCATCTGACTAAAACTACATGAAAAGTCCTGGGTAAGAATCACCCAGCTGATCCAATTCACGATGGACCAAATCCCAAACCAGAGAAAGTGACTGTTTTTAACCACTAAGTTTTGGGGTTATTCATCATGCAGAATAGGCAGGTAGATTGCCTCTGCATATCCTTGCTTCCCAAAAGTGTTTTGTGTTGAGGTCTGGGTGGAGAGAATATAAATTTCCAAACAAACCCTTGGGTTCCCCTGTGTTTGTACTAGATGTTTTCTTATTTAAAATCTTTGTGACATTTCACACATGTTTGAAGCTGGAAAGGCTTGTTAATGGGTTAAATTTAGAGGCTGTTACTTTCTTGTATTGTCAGTAAGAAAAGCAGCTCTATTAATAAGATTTAAAATGCCTTTTAGTTATTTGCGGTTGGTTAGATCTACCTGAGGAGGGTTGCATACCAATGCCACATTAAAGAAGGAAAAGGAAAGGAAAGAAAAATCCCTAAGTTCTTTAATAGAGTCTGACGTTACAGTTTTTAAAAATTCTTGGCCAAGATTCTACTAAGTTGTGCTCAGTGGAGTTTGTGCCATATTTAGTTTCTCATCCAGAAAACTTCCATGGAAATTGAGATTTGGAGGAAGACAAGTGAGGATCCCACCTGAAGCCTTCAGGTAGCCCAAAGTTGCCAAGATGTTTGGAGTTCAAAGTTGAGTAATTTAGTTTCCTTCCTTCATTTGTCAGACTGAAAACCGAAGGTGGATTTTCGGGATTCGAAGAG